CCTTACGTAGGTTTTACAAATATTTTCTGCCAGATTTCAGGAAATGCAGGCGGTACGACTTGTTCTTCGACCGCTCCTACGCCAGCAAAGGCGATGGCTCTGTACATTGCCCTCTTCAAGTGAAGACGTCGAAGTGAAAAGCTTACTACCATCGGAGGCATTCCTCAAGCAATTTGTCCGACGTCCATCTCAGCGCGACAAGCTTACATCGCTCATTTCTGAACTACAAGTACGTTCATTCTGTTTTCACCATCTGCTTGCTACCGAAAGGCTTGAAGATCAATTTTTATGGGTTCAACGATTGACTGCTTGAAGGTTGAGAATGATGCTTGTCCATGGCACTTTTAATTCACAAGGGCTTTATCAAGGGCGGTATGATTTAGTTGTATGTTGAATAGGGAATATAAGCAGGACCAGAATCGCTCGAAAAGATAATTTTGGACTCGGTTTAGACGTGCGTAGGACCAACTGGTGGAACCTGGGGCCGGGTGCAGCAAGCCCCAACTCGGGGATGGGTCCCCAAAGTCTGCGTCTCTACTCTGGTCGATGACGCAACTCTCATGGTCAAGAATAGGGGAAGCGTCCAGAGATGCAGTTTTGGGGACCCATCCCCGAGTTGGGGCTTGCCTCACCCGTCCCTGCTCTGAAGGACGTTAAGCGAGAGGGTGAGGTATTGCCCCCTAATGCAGCCATTCGTTCAAACAAATGTTTCTCAAGTTGGGATGATGGCAATAAAACGACCCTACCTCGTTCATAGATAGCGTAGCTACCTATGAACGCTTCGCTTCGGATAAATGCTTGTGCCTTAACCTTTATATTCCCATTTTTGCTGTGTGACGGATGAGCGCCTCGCATTACATATGTATTGTATTGTATCGTATCATACTTTACAGCGTTTGTTGCTGCATCTAGATGAAATGATTGTAGATATTCTTGGAAATGTTCGGAAAGGACTCCCTGCCCGAATTCACTGACTCCATTTGGTCCACGTATTTCGGGACGTGGTCAGCAGAGGAGCGATGTGAATTTCTCAATCAGCTGCGACTTGAAAGGAAAAATGCTCTTAAAACCTGCGCTAGTGACGAGAAGGAGCAGGCAAGTGAATCACGTAAGTACCCAAGAACTTCAAAGTTTTACCATACTGTTGGTAAGATCATCTTTTCAGATATCGGTGATCAATCAGCGAAAGGAAGATAACGGTGAAATGGTCTACGCCCCAGGATTCAATACTTTCATAGAACTTCGAGGTCAGGAATTCCGAGGTATGTGCATATACAAAAGCCACTCGCTTCATTCTCAATTTTATTGTGACTACAGCACCAGCCAGAGCTGATCCTCGATTTGAGGAGGATATGGCACTGAATAGTAAAGCCTTCCTCAAGCTTTTAGCAAATGCGGTCTTAATCTTTACTGGCTCATATTCTGCATCCTAGCATTCAGGATTTTTTGATCATCTTCCGATCAGATGTCGTTCTGTTTTACTCCTGGGAACACCTTTCTAGGCATTATTGATCGTATGTACGGAAGTCGACTGCTTTCATTGCAAAGGTGTGATGAAGAACTACCCAAGCTCGTTATTGACTGTAGATTTCTCACTGAATTCAGTGTACCAATGCAGTCAACGTTTGCTAAGTGCGTACAGAAATTTTGCATTGTACTTGGTTCTCTATAAATCTTATCATTGATTGTTAAGATACAACTTCAAGCCTCATGATAGCCACTGGAACTCCTCGTCTCCGCCTTCCCGCCAATCTCAGTAGCCAATTCCGTCCTACAGCCAACCTCACAGAGATTCTCAAGAGGTGAGCGCTATTAATTATAGCTATAAAGCTTACATGACTAACTTCTCAGTGACCTGCGCTATCTCTTTTATTTGTAATTTTATTGTTTTTGACCCAAGAGTATTCATTTTTCCCAACCTGAACTGTCTGCACGTGCCTGATCGCTGTTGAGCTACATATATCGTCAATCGCCCACCCTTAATTCTTGTGGGGGGGGGGAGCTGGCGCTTAGGGAACGGGCAAGACAGAGGGCGGGTGATCAGGGTGTGTCACGGGACAAGTAAGCCGGCATTCTTTCGCGTCTCTCGCCAGTGCGAAGCTTCCGGTTGTGCGGCAACCTCAGGCCACACCGCATGATCACTTCATCGGACCGGAGGTTCCCGCAGCGAGTCATCGGTGGACCCGAGATTCTCACAACGAACAATGTTTCGCGCTGCACAACGCGAAAAGTCGCTTTCTGTTTTAGTGAACCGCACCCCAGGTGACATCCACCTAGGCTTATGAATTATGTCGCAACCACTCAGCATAAATATTCACTGAAGAATTGAAAATCTGAAGTGTCTGGGAAAAAGGAGCGCGCTTGTCACGTATGTTGAAAGAATAGCTTTTAATTGGTGTGACCAATTTGAATGCTGTTGGTTAGTTGGATCGTGAAGATCACACCGCTCTCGGAGCTAACGTTTGCTTTTTCTCATCACAATCGCGACCTACTGTTGCATCACGTTGTGCATACTCGACTCGCACTGCAATCCACAGCCATCCCTAAAACCTTTTAACCAAATATCTTGAAAAAAATACAATATGTGTCTTCAAAACTTTAGAAAAAGCAATGTGTGCATAACATTTTTGTTCCTTTCAGGCATTTACTATTCCAGTATGGTCCACCTTCTAGTGAAAGTTCCTTCTCTCGCCACCCCTTTGCGCCCACTTTGACGCCGAAAGGTATTTGAGTATGCATGTGGAAGTAGTCGTTCAGGTAAACACATACTATGACTTTTACTTTAACTTACCAGCACTACTTTGTAATTTATTAACTAAACGGTCTCATAAAACAATATCGAGCACGGATTCATGTCCATAGGGCTCTCGGGGTGTTCAACAATACTTAGACAGAAGAAGACTTTTTTCGTGTTTCGCAGCGCGAAACATTTTTTGCTGCGGGAACCTCGGGTCCACTAATGATCAGAAAATTCAGTCCATCTGAGGTCCCCGCAGCGAAAAATGTTTCGCGCTGCGGAGCGCAAAAAATTCGCTTTCTGTCCTAGTGAGCCACCCCGGCCCGCTCTAAACTTTGGCTGCTCCAGCTGCACATATCGACAGATTTCTATGTTTATTTTTCGTCAACAACGCTGTACATTAATCCCTACTTTAATAAGAACTATATTACATACATCCCTATTCCAGATATTATGTATATTTCCTGGCGTGCAACTCAGTTTATCCCCGATGAGCCACCTCCGAATGTTAGGGCTGTTGTTCTTTGTGCCAGCAAGGATTATCAACCGTGGTCGAGTAGTGTCTCCGCTGCTCAGCAAGACGGTATTCAGGCCTACCGATTACCCCTGGAACGATATGCTAGGTGATATTATTTGATACAATAGCTTTCCTATTCCGTATTGATATTTTATAGTTTTTGCAGTTCATTTATCATTACAATTAAATGCTACTACATGTAGATCTTCATTTTTTTTTAGATTTGAGGGAGCTGCCAAATATCTTCCGCTGAAATCAGCATCGTCAGTTTTGCGTTCATACTTTCGAGGAGACGACATTGGCGAGTCGATTCGAACAGCTGTCGACTCACAGAACAAGATAGCTCGCTCGACTAGTAAGGCAGAGCTCGAGTTATTCGAAGTGAGTTTTTTTTTGAGCTGGTTCAGTGATGATTGCTTGAAGGATTGTCGCCAACGCAGACCTTCTGAAGGGTTTACGGACTAATTGAACTTTCCTCTGTGGTCCTGCCACGAACGGCTATAGCTTCGGCGATTAGTGAACGGCACCTGGCTTGGCTCCAAATTCTAAGGAGGAAGGTGAGAACACTAAGGCTGAGCTTTGACTTGGGGAGGGACTCTGGGGTGGGTGAGCCTAAAACACTATGGCAAAAGTTTGATTGTGTGAGATTACGTTAGAAATGAACCACTGTTTAGGCGAGAGAGAGAGAGAGAGCGGGCGGGAGCATAAAATTGAGGCAATTTAAAGGACCGAGTTTAAGTAGTAAGCGCTTGCAAAGGCCAAGAAATCATTTTGTTGTGAAATTTCTATTTCAGATATTTTTTTTTTCAACATTCGATATCAGTATGGTAATACTCTGAATTGCAGCAGTACAAGTCTGTCATTCAAGAAGCTGTCGCGAAGGCTGAGAAAGAAAGCCTATCAACATCAAGGACGAAGCCAAATCGTTCACATTCGGAACCGAAGAAACCTAAAGTACACCGATATACGAGAGAAGAGAGAAGAAAAATGCGAGAACAAGAAGCGGCATCGTCATCTGGGGCCTTATAAAGTTCAGAAAATTTGCAGTTTCTAACTCAGGGATAAAACTTCTATTTTTTTAATCACTTATTCTTGTTACCGTGTTTCATTATAATGTCGTGGGCTGAATTAGTAATTCACCGTAATTATTTAAAAGATGAAAGGAGCACCTTTCGAAACCTGCAAGTCGTGGGTTTACCGTTGTAAACTTTCAAACAGTATCGAGTTGCTGGTACATCATTCGATCAGCTGGCACATAGTTCGATCCGCTGGTGCAACGCTGGCCAGCGACGCGCTGGATTCGCAAAATCTGGTATGGGCCTAACAAGGGAGGTCTTTCAGGGCAAGGTGCGCTTTTTCAAAACGGTTTTGTGCATATTGTAGGGACGCATGTAGGGAACGCAAAACCATGTTTCATTTTCGCTGAACGGTTATAGCAGTACCAAAAAAGAAGCATAAGGTACTGTTAAGGGTTCGATCCCCGTGGGCGACTAAATTTTGCATTTGGGTTGGCGCCTACGGTTTGGTGCCAAATCGCGCTAAATATCAAAATCAGATGTCAAATTCATCGTCAGGACCATTTTGAAGCCAACAAGTGGCCGCCAACCTTGATTGCAAAATTTAGTCGCCGCGGGGGATTGAACCATCAAGAGTATTATTCACCACTTTTTTGGTACTACTAAAACCGTTCAGCGAAAACGAAACATGGTTTTGTGGTCCATACATGCGTCCCTACAACATGTACTGAACCGTTTCCAAAAAGCGCACCTTGCCCTGAAGACCTCCCTTGTTAGGGCGCGCAGTGGAACTCTTGCGCACGCACAGGACAATCTCGTTGAGAAGGCGAAGAAAATACTTTCAAATTTTTATTGTCTTCCCAGTCAGAATTGCTTTAAAAATGGTTGTTTGTAAAAAATTTGTGCATATAAATAAAAGCCAAAACATGCCGAGGATAAGGAATCAACTCAAAAAAGTATAAGTTCTAGGCCGTTCATACTTTGAGATCGGCTTATATGCGAAGATGCGATGATGCGACCAAGCGATTCTATCAAATGAAGTGAGTGCATATCGATTGGCTCGACTCCGCCTTAAAGCGTCACATGCGAGATAGCGTCTGGATTTCAGCGATCGCGCGAGGCGAAGATGCGATGGGGCGACCAGCGTGGAAGGATTTGATACGTGGCGACAGATAAGATTCAAGTCTATGGATGAGTTGATTGATTGATTCCTGACGCGTGAATCATCATCAGCGAGTGAGCTCATCATAGACTTTAAACCTTATCTGTCGCCACGTAGCACGTCTGTCAACAGGTTGGTCAATCGGATCCTTCGGCTTCCTGTCGGCGAACGCTGGCTCAGATACGCGAGTGCTTACATCAAAATAGTTATTCATTCAACAAAAGTGGAAGGACAGGCGGGGGCCTAAGGGGTTCACGTTCCATTCTGCCTGGAGGAAGGATAGCATACGGCTCCTGAATAATACCCAGTTGTTCGAGGTCCGCCACGGCGACAATACCTCAAAACTTGCTTTCCTTGTGAGGCGAATTTCTATAAGGAGCGGAAAGATGGTGCTTTCCACCTAGACTGAAGGTTTTATTCGAGTGCCCTATCAGTGGAGCGGAGAGTAATGCATTTGTTTAACAATTCGTTTGGGATAATGGCCTTTCAAAGGCATTATTTCATAACTCCCTCTCTCAGGTGAAGGTCACCCGAGCACAATTCCGGTCTGGGGCATTTGCTAATGGACTACGTAGATTACCTATCTCTATCATTCGCGTTGCACGCAGTACTGTTGCCTTCACTGCTGCAATATGCTTGTGCCTTAGCAAACTCCAACTTCTCTCTTCGTAGAACCTCGGCATTGTTGTTATTATGATATTATTTTTCTGC